CAGAAATTAAGCAGCTTTGTATGATTGAATCTCTGAGGCATTATGTAAAACAAGGTTTACCAGAAAAGCAAAAAATAGCAACATAAATAAAACGCACAGTTTAAGGTTATATAGAGAGGAATACTTGTCACATTAAATGATGTAAAACACAATTATATAAGTAATGACTTTTTTTCTTTTGAACTTAGAAATAACTCACCTCACTTATTCTTTATACATCTACCTTGGAAGATAGTTTTTGTTTTACTTATTTGATAGAAGAAAAACTGAGACTTTGTGCAACTCAGTGTTTTCCCTGATAAAGTAGTAGCGGTGTGATGTGCCATCTTCCAAGCCCAAGTTCAGGGCCCTTATAAATGTACAAAGTTTAATGGATACAATATTTGTGCCCATAATGAATCAGTCTTGAAAAGTCTATCTGGCCTTCTGAAGAATGCAACTGTGTTTTTCTAATATATTGATAAATAATGGCAAGTATGCATAGGTGTGTGTACATATAAATATGGATATAGTATAATAGGAAGTTTCAAATATAAATATGTACATATTTATATGTATAAATCTAAGTACATATATTCTAATTCAGAATCTTATATGCTCAGTGATTCAAATGTGTTCTCTCAGATGAAAACAGCACCTCCCTCTCCATCAGACCTAGAATGAGATACAGAAGGTTCAGTAATGTTTTCTACACTGGTCACTTCCAGGTTTGAAGAAGTCCTTGGGTAGATTGTGCATCTCTTCTTAAAACAATTTATGTTTTTAGACCACCCTATACCCTTTGAGAAAAGGCATTTGCCTCTCTGCTTCTTCTTCCTCAGTGCCGTTGGAGAATGTTTGCTTCAAGTTTTTGCCAGCTTCCCTTTAGAACAGAGCAATTGCTTAACAAACGACAGGTTTCTGTGAGAGAAAATCTCTGTGGTTCGACACACGTGTGTTCCTGTCATTACGCACCTTCTGCTTTTGTTCCCTCATAACCATCTTGTAATCTGCATGGAAAGGCAAAGAAACCAAACCTTGGGGAAACAGATATTCAAGCAATTATTTCCTCACTGACTTTCCAGTTCTGGGCCCAAAGACCTTTCCGGGAGACAGGGGACTCTAGTTGGTACCTCAGGTAGCTGTATGTAGGAGGCTGGATATAAAAATGATGTCATGAAGTCCCTTGTAAAACCAGTACCTTGTCAAAAGAACCTGTTGTCACTTCAATGACGTCTTCCCTCTAGAGAGAAACTATTTCAGGACATTAAAGTAATTTGCATATTCCTAAATTGTTATATTTACCTAATGAGCATATAACTACTTGTTCATGTGACTCCACTAGACTGAGAGTTTTGACAGAATAGGGACTGAGTTCATTCATCAAAGTCTTGCTATGTGTTTTGTGCTTTCTATAGTGTCTACTAGATGAATGGATGAATTACATATTGTAGTGTGGTGCTTCAAAATCCAAAGGGTATTGAAATAATGTCATCGATTCACATGAAGCAAGCCATACTCACAAAAAAGGCGTTATACAGTAGGAGTGTTTTATACTCATGAGAAAAATAAAAAGCTACCTCTCTACAGAGTGTTGACCATGAATTTCCTTATGAAGTTCTTCATCTTAGAAGGAAGGGGGCACTTATTTATGAAATCAACAAGCATGTTTTGATCATTTACCAGGAGAACGGTAAACTAAAGACCAACTCAGTTCTTTGAGATACCTAGATCTAGACCAGAGATAAACACGTGCATAGCTATTGTCACTTTAAAAGAGAATAATGTGAATACTATACTGTCAGAAAAACAGGAATGGGAACAAAGGCTAAGAGATCATGGAAGCCATCTTTTTACAGGGAAGTTGGGATTATGACCAATCAGATGTGGTAATGAGGACTGGACAGGAAGGGAGCATTTCAGAAAAGAGTCAATAGGATCTGGAGAATGACTGGGTTGGGGAATCCTAAAGATGGGTTCGAAATACACGGTCCAGTAGAAACAATGCCTGCTTGAGTGTGGTTAATAGGGTAATAATATGGGTGTAATCATTTATAATTTTAACTTGAATATTTCACCTAAAATGTCATGTCGTGTGCTTGAGTGTGATACTGTTATATTACAAAATTACATGCTTATTATTTTGTAATAAAGGATTTTGTAATAAAAAAGAGGCTTTATTTGTGTTGGATCCTGTATATAGCCAAGAGGGGATTTCTGAACACTTTCCTAAAGATATAGAATACAGGAGGAATTTCCCAGGACATTATTCCTGGATGAGTTTAATATCTGGGGTAGAAGGATGGGGGTGAGGAGGGTTTACAAATTGAATTAGGTGATTATTTGGTTCGTTTTAAAATTCTAAACTCAAGCAGGACTTAGTGATTTACCTCCAAAAAAAAGTTTGAAAAAGGACACATTTTTACAGTGGAGAAGCCTTGCACGCAATACCTTGCAGAGGCCTTCAACCAGCAGCCTGTGGGCTGCATGCAGCCCAACACAAAATCGTACATTTACTTCAAACCTTTTTTGTGTTCATCAGTTTTCATTAGTGTTTGTGTATTTAATGTGAAGGCCAAAACAACTCTTCTTCTTCCAGTGTGGCCCAAAGATGCCAAAAGGTTGGACACCCCTGTAGAGTGATAATGTTATCATCAGTGATGTCATGCTGATACCATGTACCACCAGGTATAATGTGATGAGAACACAGTTCACCTCTGTAACCAAATGCAGGTCCAGCTGCCTTCCACAAAGAAAGCCAATACTGCAAAGGCAGGTGCTGATATAAAGGAAAGTGATTTATTTCCAGTTGCTGGACATCTGAAAGATGGAGGACTCGTGTCTCAAAGACTATCATCTCATCTCAGTGGAGGCAAAGGTTTTTATAAAGTGGGAGAGGAGAACAGAGCAAAGAGATCAAGGGAAGAGGTTGAAAAGTTCTCTACGTGCTGACTAGCACGGTCCATTCCGATAAGGCAAGTGATGGGCCGGTGTGCATCATCCTGGTTTAGTCATCCTGGATTCACATCATCCTGGCTCCACAGCCAAAGATCAGCAAATCTCCCGGAGCTTGGATGCCTGAAGGTTGGAGTCTGTACCCTTTGAAGTTAATACCTAGGATTATTGTCCAAACATGCTGTTCGTCTATAAACTACATATTAGTCAGAGTCAGCACTTACGGAAACAAGCACAAGAATGGTGGGGTGGGTTACAATTTCTCACCATTACAATTTTCCACTGTTACACCTCCATGGTATTCTTTCCCAAAACCCATGAGTAGGGTCTAGTCATGAGAAAACATCAGCCAAACTCAACCTCAGAGACAAAATCTCTGACCATTGCCCCTCACAAAAAAGCAAGACCGAGCAACTGTCACAGAGCACAGGTGATACGGTAACTGAAGACGATGTGGTACCCTAGATGGGATCCGGAACAGGAAAAGGACATTAGTGGAAAAAAACCTGATGAAATGTGAATAAACTGTGGAGTTTAGTTAACAGCAATGTGGCGGTGTTGATTTCTTCTTTTTGAGAAATGTGCCAAGGTAACGTAAGACAATAATGTTAGGGGAAACTGAGTATGTTTAGATCGATGTCATAATTTCCCTCTGTTTTTTGAAGGCTGGGGCTGTGTGATGCAATGATAACACCGTGAGCAATAACAACTCAAATTTCTGAACCAATTTTACATACACTAACTCATAATGGGACAACATTATGAAGCCGGTAGAACAGGTGTTTTTATGTCCATTATACAAATGAGTAAACAGTGACTCAAAACGAAATGTATCCAAGATCACATTTGCAGTGCCTTCGGCTTAAACGACGATTTAGTGAATCAAGGAAACTTGTGTTATTTTTACTTTCACCAGATACTAGAAAGACAGGCCAGTGTATGTGCGCACGCACAGATGGGGAGGGAACAGGAAACACAGAGAGGGGCGCCAGAAGATTTGAGACGGCAGTCAAATTCCAACTGACCTGAAAAGTCTGTTGAGCCTTGAAGACTAAAGAATAATTAATGAGCTGACTTTCTGGTTTTCGAAGCTCACAGATTTGGGTTTTTTTTCCCCTATACTTCCCTACCTTTATGTCGGAGTGATAGTTTCCTTAATAAAAATAAAGTAACCTAATGGTCACAGTTTCGTGGGTCTGCAAAGTCATGACGCTCGGGAGCCCCTGAGCACGTGAGCTATTCACTTCTTCCTGCCCCACCACCACCCATTTCTAACACGGACTCAGACTATGTGCATGAGAAATTTGTTACTTCGATTCTGCTCATAAATTGGGTGTAATATTTTCCATACACAATTTTCTTTGTCCCGATTGCAACAATGGCACCAATAATTTTGAATAGGAAACGTATCCACATGACATTGTCCCCTTATAATTTAGGAACAGCGCTAATAAAAGGCAAATTTTGTACATTTGCAACCATCCCCTCCCCCCCGCTCTTTCCAGTCTTACTCATTTTCCAGGAGCGTAAATCAGAAAGTTAAACCTGTAGGAGTTCTGTTTTGCCTTTAAACAAAAATGCATTCTTACAGGTGAAATAATTATACTGTTATCTCAGATCAAGGTATCAAAGAAAGAGTCTCGTGTGGATACTTATGTAACTTACACACACACGAAGAGGAATGTTTCAACACAGACGGATCTGAGCGTTGGACCTAAAGTGTGGTCTTCCGTGTTGATTCTGCAGCCGGAGGAGTTATCCCTATGCTTTGCTGCCCCCTTGGCAAACTAGAAGGATTTACAACGGAATTCTGCACCCAGCCGGCTGGAGTCCGCGCTCCTTCCCACTGCCTCTGTGGGCTGGCCTGGCTCGGAGGCGTTTGAAATGGCTATTACAGATTGCCACTGGCTTAGGTATATTGCAAAGAAATTAAAGCATCTTCCCGTGGAGACACAGATTTTTCTCCTTTTAAAATAATTTACTTTCCGCAAGATCCACGTGTTAGACTCTGAGTTATTTTTAAGGGCTCGGTATTTCTTTCCTTCTTTCTTTAGTCGGGAGTGCAGATGGAGAAAGGAGGAATCGGTCGAAGACGTCTGAGTTTGAGCTCTGGGCGACGTTTTGGCTCATTCGGGTGTGACGCTGACAGCAGAGGCGCTGGGCCATCCGTTTTCCATGGTCTAAGCTTCCATTCCGCGCCTGGGAGATGCCTGGTCTCCAACTCCACTGGTTGGGAGTCCAGAACACTTAGCAGAAGCTGTTCACAAAATGCAAAGCATCTAGGTGTCCAAGGCAGAGGCTCCTGTTGTCTCTCTCTCTCTCTTTTTTTTTTTTTTTTTTTGCTCTCCCAAGTCACTTCCAAAGGAGCTAAGGGAATAAAGACGAACAAAACCTAAGCTCTTACAGCTGACCTGCTGCTTTCCATGTTGGACCTGAGACCGATTTGCTGCATCGTCATTCCCGCTTGTGTTCCCTATATTTTGCCGTTCTAAGGCTCGGCGCCGCTTTCTCTGCGCTCACCAACCTCTCCAGCTTCCCCGTCACAACTCAGACTCCCTCAAATCCGACTCCTCCCCCACTTTCCGGTGTCTAAGTCTTATTTGAACCTGAGGTCGTTTAGCTTAGGCGGGCACTGGGTAGGAGGCAGCCTTCTTTGCTGTTTCATTTAAATTCGGCGTGGGTAGGTGGGTTCCTTACACAATTCTGTAGCACACGCAAAACAGCTCAAAGCTAGAATCAGAAAGATTGGAGAGTTCCACATCTTCAAAGCGCCGCTAGGAAAGGAAATAATACGAGGAGGACGGCGTGGGTGGGTGTGGGGGGTTGACATAAAGAAATAGAACCCGACTTCCCTGGCAACTTGGATAAATCTGGTAACTGGAGGCAAAAAGATTCCGAGGGCTGAGTCTGGTCCGGATGAAACGCTAGGGCTCCTTCCAGTGCCAGAGTCTGGTGCTGGAAGATTGCCACTGGCGTCTTGCCATCGAGTGGCCCCAGACAGCAACACACCCACTGGAAACGCACGTGAGCAAAGCTCTCGCCCCGGGAACCGCTGCCTGCGGTTTCCTAGTCGATTCCAGCTTCTCTGCGGCGTGTAGGGCGCACAGAGGGTTAAGTTAGTCCCCTCCCTCGTAGGAAGGAGGGGAAGGGGAGGGGGAAAGCAGCCTAGTGTCTCAGGCTGGGTACTTCGTAGTTAGTTGTACGTTCGAAACCTGTCGCCCTCACTTGCGAGTTTGGCATCTTCCATTGCCACCACAGAGGAACGATCGCTCGGAGATATCAGCCGTGGCCGAAATCTCCACGCCAAGGCGTTGAACTGCTACCGCGCGGGTGCGTCTCTGGCCCTCGGTCCCGCGTTTCAAGCAGCGGCAAGGCAGCAGCTCCGCTCCCGCCCCCCGTGTCCACCCAGCCCGGGACCAGGTCGGCAGTTCTCAACGATGGGCAGGAGGGACCTTGGCGGCGACCCCTAAAACAATACCATGCCCCGGGAGCCCCGCTGCTGCCGCGCCAGCTTCTTCCCTTTCCATCTCCCCGACCCCGTCGGATTCGGATGAGCCCACAGCAGGGAGACGCAGACACCAGGTAAAGGGGCTGAGGTGCCAGGTAGAGTTTCCAGTAGCCGCCAGAGCTGCCATTACGCGGGCACCACGCGGTCTCTAGGGGGACGGAGGAAGATTTTTTTTTTTTTTTAACCAGCGGGGGCTGGTCATCGGGAGAGTGGGTGGAGTGTTTCAGTCTTTATCTTTCATCCAGAGAGAAAACAGGTTGCTTAATTCACCCCCGAATTTAGGGAGGTCTGTTTTCAGGCCGAATCCATCTCCCGTAAGGAGTTATGTTAACTACGCTCTGAGTCAAAACGCAAAATTTTTAGCCTGCTGGATGGAGCATCGTCCCAAACTGGGGTTTCTACGGCGACTAAAGTTGCCGGAATCAGCCTCGCACTTAGCCAGAATGAATCTGTTAACTTCTAGGAGTAACATTTTCCCGACTTCCCCACCCTCGCGCTCACCCCATCTGCCGCTAATGTCACCAGCGTTATTAAGAGCTGGCGTCTAAAGCCACCAGCACGCCCCCTGCCCGAAATCCAGGATTTGTTAGTTGGCTAAGAGATGCGGGGTGGGGGAATGCTAGTTCCTTTTCCTTCCAGTTGGGGAGGAGGTTACTCCCCCCCACCAAACCAAGTCTTTCTCCAGCTCTGCTGGTCCTCAGAGGCTGCGTACTAAGCTAGAACCAGCGCACCCTTCTCGCACATAAAGCGGGTGTACGAAGGCGCGGGGGGCATACCAGCTTGAACCCGATTGCGTTCTCTATGCCGCGAGTGTGGGATGCGCTGAGCCGGCGGTTACGCGTCCAGACGCAGAGTGCAGGGGCGAGACGAGGTGGAGGGGGGCGGGAGCAGACGGTGCCAGCTGGTATCTAGTCCCCTGGAAAGCTTGCAGTCGGCTGCACTGACCATCCCTCCCCTGTGCAGATCCGACAGCGCGGGTGCCCCCCGCCCCCGCCCTCGGGGCAGTCACTTTTCTTTGGTAACCCCGCGCCAGAGCGAGGTTGCCAGTTGAAGTCAGGGCACTAACCAGGGGAAGGAAGTGTCGAGGAAGAGGGTGACTGGGGCGGGCTAGATCCACACTTGATGCCGGTGAACTTCTGAAGCGCGCGGGGTTCCGGCTGGCAGCAGATGCGGTTGCAGGCGGAGGCCACTGCTGGTGCGGTAGCTGGCGCTTCACTCCTGTTCCCCCCGCCCCCAGCAAGATGGCACTGGCTGTTTGCTGTAGTCCAGTTAATTCCCCCAGCCATCCCCCTTCTCCTCCCGGCATTAGTCATACATTGAGCTCGGGCAGAAGAGCGGCTATGTATGTATGAGACAGTCAAAGCATTTCTCTGGCCACCTTTGCACAATGTAACAGGAACAGCAACTCCCGGGCACGAACCCCGGCCGTGTGTGCATTGGTGCCGGCTTGCGTCTCTGGCGTGCGTCTGGGTGGATCCGTCTGTGGCTTGTGCTTGGGAGGCAAATCGGGCGTTTTTCCAGGCCGTCTTAACACAATTTAGGCGCTCCAATACGTGAAGGCGGTAGACCCTACAGAGATGCGAAGAAAATAAAAACAATTGGGAAAGCGATGCCAAGTGACTCAGGCTGTGAACTGAGGACGGGGGAATCATCCTGAGCGGGTCGTGGCCACTGCCCCTGCCTAACTCTTCTGGCGCGCTAGCCGATCGGCTCCCTAGGGAGTTGGTCCTGAGCCAGTTTCAAGCTCTTGGGTGTGCTTTTGGCCAGGCACCACCGACGGCGCGTCTGAGCGCAGCTCAGCGGTTGGCGCGGGCTCGCTCTCCTTCGTCTGTTCAGATTCCGCCCCTCTACAGACTTGTTAGAACACGACAGTAACTTACCGGAGGCAGGAGCAGCGGCAATGAAATGAGAGGAGAAAACCAGAACCCCCTCCCCCGCTCCAAGAATGAGACGTGCACCTGGTTGCTTTCCATTACTCTTTCACCTTTACGAAGAGATTGCGAGTGAAGCGTCGCCTGTTCACAAACCAGGTTTCTGTAGCTGTCAAGCGTGTTTCCTAAGTCTTTGAAGTTGAATCTCTGGGGAAAGTGAACAACGGTCTTTCCAGCGGCCATGGTGAAAGGACAAAACGGGGTGGTTAAAATAACCCTATTGAATGTTTTATTATATTCCCAATTAAAACTATTTAAGAAGGTCCTGGATGAGGGAACTGGCCATGGGGTGGGGTGCGGGGTGGGGACAGATCACCCAGACTGCCTGCATTTGACATAACGCCATCTTGGTTGAGAGACTTGCAATATTTTTACCCTCTAATCTCATGTTTCCATCATTTGTCAATGTCTGAGTAATAGATCCCCTGGCTTGGAAGTACAACACCAAGTGAACAGAGAGGAAATTGACTTTCAGCTTTCGGACAGTGGCGTTATCCCAAGGGCTGGGGAGGCAGGTGGGGTGGTGCAGGGTCGGGAGAGAGGAGCACGTGTGCAGGGTCCGAGTGGCATCCCCGGCGTTGGCCCCGGTGTTCTGCAACTCACTTCAGGGAGGACAGGGTTAAGAGACTTTGCCTCTTGGAAAGCTTTGGGTTGCAGCCGCGCCTCCCAAGCATTCTTTAAACCAGAAATGTGGGAGGGACTCGGAGAGGGCGGGAGCAAAAGAGGGAGGGAGAGAAAGAAGGGCTCGAGTTGGGGAGCGCGCCAGAGCGCGAGGGACGAGAGAGAGGAGGAGCGCAGGAGCAGCGGAGGCGATCCCGCGAATTCATTACTGTAAACATCTCCCGGGGGCGTCAGGAGGGGTGGGGGTGGGGGCCGCGGCGCCTACATAGTCCGGCTGCGTCGGATCCAGGCAGCAGTGAGGTCGGAGCAGCCTCCAGACCCACGCGGGACCGACGCAGCACAGAGAGCGAGCCCCGCGCAGCGCCCCACGCCGGGCTCCGCGCGGTGGGCACCGGGGCATCGGAGGCGCACTTGCCCGGTTCTCCACACCTACCCCCCGGGTCCTCCGTCTCCGAGGAGCCCCGGCACTACGGGGCCGCTTTCCATCGCCTTCCACCCCGGTCCTCTTTCTTTTGGGACTCGTTGGCTCCGCCGAGGCGGAGAGGGAGGGGGAGGCAGCGGAGCAGAAGGGGCGGGGGCCGCGGCGGCCGGAGCCAGGAGAAAGTGGCATGCCCGAGCCCTGGAGGCGGAGGTGGCGGAGGACTGGGGAAGACGATGCCGCGGCTCCGTAAGGGAGAAAGGCAAGAGCGAGCGAGGCGAGTGGGGCGCTCGGGCGCCAGCCGGCTGCGGGCAGGCTCGCGCCGCTCTGAAGCTCCAGCCTCCGCATCCCCGCGCCCCGACGCTGCAGGCGACAGGGCTGGGCTCCGGCAGCCGCCACCGTCGCCGCTGCCGCCACCGGGAGTACCGAGCAAAAGTTTGGAGCTGAGGGAGGACGCAGCGCTGAGCGGGATTAACACCAGGGCTAGAAGGATACCTCGAGAACCTTTGCAGGTAACAGGCACCTTCCACCCTCTCTCTCCATGCCTCTCTGCTGGGCTCCTGCTCCCTCCCAGCCCCTTTCTGACCTGTCCAGATCTGGCTGCAAGTGAGAGGGAGGCGAAGCTCTCGGGGATGGGCACCTAGCGCCGGGAGGTCGACAGTAACGTAGTAACGTTAGAGGGGCCGGCGGTGCCTCTCGGCACCCGGTGGGCAGCTGTGCAGCGAGGCGAGTCTCTCCTGGGAATGGATGAGAACCCTCGGCCCCAGCTGGTGTTTGATCTTGCAGCTCTCGGGGAATTTAGAATGTGGGTTGAGGGGCTTTTAGTATTCTTGAAGCCGGAGAAATGATGGGTGCATTTCACCCACTTCCATCCAGATCCTCTCTTATTTAGCATATTTAAAGAACAGTGTGAACCCATTCGCCGTCACCCACCAAATTTAGCTGGTGCAGGAAAGCAAATGGGAGCGGGGGCGGGGAGGTGTGTGCGAAGATTTCAAGGAAAGGAGAAAATTTTTCCTTTCCCCTTTTGCTATCCCCGGGGTCCTCCCTCCTTCCATTCACCGTCTGGCGTCATAAAATAGGAACTTTGGAAGTCACATTTTGATTGAAGGGTGAGATGAAGCACACTAACCATTGGTGACGTGAATTTGCAGTGCGTATGTGTGTGTGTGTGGGGAGGGGGCGGTTGTTAACCGTGGTGCGGAGGGGTTGGTTTTTGCTAGGCGGCCTGATGCACAGTAGTGCGGGGGTGGGGGGCGGTGAGTGGTCCAGCTTGTATACTGAGGAGGGGGCAGTGGAGAGAAAACATTCAACGTTTCCAGAACGGCAGCCTTACTTGGGCTAAGAAAATAGCTTCCGCCTTTCACTCAAAGAGAGAGAAGATTCCAGCCCCAGTTCTCCAATGCCCCCTCTCCCGCAGTCGAGTTTGGAGTTTCCAAGCGGCTCCACCTTTGCTGCTGCTATCGTTTTTATTAGGATCATTATTAATTCACCTGGAAACGCATGGTGCCTTCTCTTGTAAGTGGGAATCAGTCTCTAAGAGCTTTTGATTAATTTTAGTGGAGGGACTCTTGTAAAGCTTACAGTAAGCTAATCAAGTGCAAGGCACAAATCCGTGTAAATGCTGGCCCAGGAGTGCAAGGTGCTGATTAGATTTCTTCACATGCTGCATTTGCTATGCAAAGCCTCTTCTAAATGGGATCTATTGCTCCCCACTCAGCTGGGAGGTTCTTTCATCACACAGGGCTTTAGGGAGCTTTGGGGCATGCCCACTCTCCCTGGGGCTTATTGCTAAATTTATTATGTCTAACTTCTCCCAGCCCAAAGCTAATAGGAGGACTAGCTTCCACATCGAGAAGATATTGTCTGTGTACTTACACAGAATGACCTTATTAAATCTCTAGTGAAAGGATCCCCCAAACGTTTTGAGGTAAATAAAATGCAGCTTGGCATTTGTCCAGGTATGTATTTGGTGGTTGCAGTACAAATGTAAAATTTTAGGTCCGTATCTGAAGTGTTGGAACTGGACTTTTTTTTTTTTAATTAATCGCTAAGCAACATGCGTCAGATCCATAAGATTGACAGGCCACCATGTTAGAAGAGAATAAATCCTTGGGTAATACACACTCCGTGAAAAGTTGTTTATTTCCCCACAATCTTACTGCTCCCCAGAATACTTTTCGGCTTCCCTTCCTCAAAAGCCCCAAACAGGATAGGGTTAAACCATCTGAGGATTTCTAATACTCAAGGTGGACAGGGCAACACCATCCTGTCATGTTGAGTTGCAAATATCTGTGACTGGAGAAGGTTGGAGATGAAATTTCTAACACGATTCCACGTCTCCGCCAGTGGGTATAAGACATTGTAAAAAGCATTGGGCTAGCTGTACTGTAGCCGAACCTATAACAAACCTAGCATGGAAAGAGTGCTGTATTTTTTCACCTTTTTTAATACGCCTCTTAACACTTCAGTACTTTCACTGCCGTTTTAGAAATTTCAGGGGCTGCTTTTGACAGAAGAAAGTGGATTCCCAAATGACACCACGCTGGGCGCCTTGGAGTTCCCAAGACAGGCCTGGATTTTCCTGTGTGCTAGGTTTCAGATGATATGATCTTATCCGAGTTTGACTTTGACCTGCTGGATCTAATTTGAAGCTCCTCTGATGCTTCTTACATTTATATTCCGGCCTGCTGGAGAGTTTGATTTAGGATTTAGACATATCTCCCTAAGGCAACCCTATATCTTTCTAGTTTGAAGCTGTGGTTTCAAAAAAGGTTCAAGTACATGCAAGTCCAGAAGCCTTAAACTGTAGAGACTCAGCGTGAACGTGTGGTCTAGTTTGAGTCTTCAGCTTTGTATTCTACAAGGAAGAATTTCTGCTTCTAAGGTCAGCAGGGTCTGAAGTTAAAAAACAGCAAGGGTGCCAGTGGTTTTGCTTTCTGTGTAGAAGATTCCGAAAAGGTCAAGGTGATGCCATTTTATTTCTATTCAGGTCAGACCTTCCTGGATAATCACCTTTGGGTACCTTTTCTCTAATTTCCATTCAAGTTCATTTTTCACTAGATTACTTTAATAACTTTGTGGTTGCTGCCACAGTGATTCAACTTCAGTCCATTAGTGACCTCTGTCTGCGAGAAGTGAATACTCATTGTTTCTCTTTCTTCTCATCAGAGTCTACAGATTATGCAAGGGGAAGAAAAGAGACAGCTCTGTAGTTCTTTCTGGATATTTGGATTTTCACACTTGGTTTTTCGAATACGGAGTTCAGTGTGGGTACTGATACTTAACAACAGTAATAAAAATCTTACATACAGGCTAACAGGCTTGTAAACGGTCCCTGCATATGGCATCGACAACATGATCAGCATAAATAAAACAGCAGTGCTCTCCGCTGTCAATAAAAGGGTTGTACAGTCAGGTAGGCTAATGTTTTGAGACTCACAAAGCTGCTAGATGTCAGTGAAATTTTATTGCCCCCAAGTGCTTACATAACAAGGGAAAGTTGATTCAAGCCCAGAACATGTACAGAGTATGTGGCAACTAGACTTCATGGTAGCAGCGTGTGTATGCTTTTCAATTCAGCTGTGAACTTAGGGTCCAGAGCAAGGGTGAGGTGGGGTATGAGAAGGCCGTTTGTAAACTGATGGTCCTTTAAGGAGACTTTTAAAATCTGATTCCTAACCCAGCTTTGCCTTCTCAGGGTTTTCAAATCAAAATTTCAATTTCAGTCAATTATTCTAAATGGTAATTGAAGACAAAGTTTGCTGAATTTCTTAGGTGGGTGGATGCCATTGTCAGACATTTTCCAGATGGTTTTCGATGTAGTGGTATTTGGGGATATGGAATTTTTAGGAGGTTTTCTTTCTTTTCCCTTGGACAGGTTTTGTGCAGAAGACATTTTAAAGCCCAATTATTATTATTATTATTAAAGTTAAACAACTATTATAATACCCCAGCCAACTTTCTTATTTTTCTCCACCCTCCAAATTGCTTTGCTTTTTTTTCAAAAATTATGTTTCTCTTCTAAAAACCACATGTTGGGGATTGGAGTAAGACTATCAGTATTTTTTTTTTTTTAGTATTTTCAGCAATGTGACCTCCAGTTAAGTATCTGTTTATAGTATAACACACACACTCACATACATATACATCAAGAGCCATTTTAAGACAGAGATTCTTTTCAAGGTTTTAAAATATGTTCCTTTTAAAGAACTATGACACAAATATTGTAATAAAAATATCCTGTGTTCCGATGAATACAGAGACTTATTTCAGTCAGTCGCATGGAACAGTAAAACACTGTATTAGCAAAATAATCAGTAGTATTTTCAGTACATGGTCAAAATCTGTTAGAACCTTCATGGTTTTTTTTTTTCCCTTGGCGAATTTTGCATCCACTGGTCTTTTTTGGTTTTCTTTGATTTCTTCGACTGTGGCTCTTTGAAGTGATTCAAAATTAAACAGTAGCTACTTCTTTAGGGAAATTCATCATGTTATGTTCAGGATTCCAGAAGAGTTAATGATGCAGAAAACGTCCTGTAAAACATCTTTCTAAAAGAAGTCCTTCTCTTGCAGGCTTCCCACTTACTGGCCTCCTGTACCATTTGCAGTGAATTGGAACTCTGTTATTTATTTATTTTTCAAATACCACCTCTAACTTAATTTAAGGTGGGATGTGTTTCTGCAGAAGCAGGCAGTACCGTGTGTCCTGAGTCGCCTGAACAAAGCAGTGTCGTTTTTACGGATCTGGAGTAAGGGAAGGTCAAAGAAAATATCCTTGCATAAGTTTGGGAAGTTCAAAAGGCCACATTCGTGATTCTCAAACACTGGTCAGTTATTCTTCTGATCATAAGGGCACACACATTTCTTCTGGCAGTTTAGTAGTTAAAGATCTGAGCCATTTTTTGAAGCACTCACAAAATAAATACCTGGTGTTCCTACCCATTAGGTGCTCATTAGAACTTAGCTGTTTTTCTCACTTTCTTCCCTGGTTGCTTTTAAGAGAATATGCAAGAAACTTGGCAAAAGGTCCCCTTTCCCCTCAGGTCACAGATCATGTGTTGTATTTCAGTTGTTTTTATTACAGCTTTCAAGATACTGATAAAAGAATCTTCTATCAGAACCTTTTAAGAACCTTAGGGCTTTTGGATTTAAACCCACTGAAAAATATCAGGTACCAAAGTTCATAGATGCTATTAGGTCTCAGGACACTGAGACCTGGTTCAGCAGTGGCTCTTAAAATTGGTTCACAAATTTATTGTCCATGGAGGTCAACAGAGGTCATGTGGCTGAATGGAAAGCATTAGACTCATATCAGTCCCGAAATAGGTCCACGTGTTGGTGTCAGTCTTAGCCCCAGCTGCCTATGGGCATCACTTTTGTGAAGTCCAGTGTCAAAATAGCCTCTGTGCGAGTTTCCTGTCCCACTCTACTTCAGACTTGGGACTTTATTCTGAAGAAGGAACTAATGCAGGAAATAATAATATTCCTCATAGATACTAGATAAAGAGGA